TCTCGGATAAAAAAGATCCAAGATTAAAAACTTTTAATTCCTCCTCTTCTAATCATTTCAAAAATTACGGTTAGTAAGTTGATCACACCATATAAAATATCGCATTAAAACAATTTATTGAATTATTATTATTTTTTATTTTATTTTATTTGTAACCAAAAGAATACAATATCTTCGAGATATTCGAAATTTCTTTGACGTTACGTTCAAAATAAAGCAGGACACTAAATCAAATACGTTACTATTGACATGTGTTGGTGTCGGTTACATCAATTATAACAAAAAAACCACCTAGGCTGTATATATACTTTTTCCTATTCATGTTAGAAAAATGCATCGCCTTTATTAATTAATAAAATCATAAGAATGATCATTGATCCACTTCTTTAGTTTCAAGGCCTGGTGATAAAATATATATTTAAATAAATGATTCCATAAAATGTATTAATAAAATTCATATAAATCATAATGATTACCTTTAAATGATATTGTAGGTACATAAGTAACATGAGTATATAATTTTTCCTTGGCATCTTCTTCGTCATTACGACGACGTGAAAGACGAAGACGCATACGATGAGGAACACTCTTAATGCCTTGTTTCCAAATCTCTTTATTCAATAGAGGATCGAGGCGAACATCTTTAGTACCCATGTGTTTGAAAGTAAAAGCTTTAATAGCCTTTACAGCTTGTGGTGCACGTGCCTTGAAACTCCTATTTATAATTTAAATTTTAACGTTTATTGTCCTCATGAACTCATCATGAAAATCATCCAATGCTTAATTTGATATTAAAAATTGTGTGTTAATGTTACCTGCCGTGGACGGCTTTGTGCAAATGAATGGTGTAATCTCTCGTCACGACATCAGAGATCGCGCTACGTGTGGCGGTTTTTTTTTTTTTGTTTGTCATTTCTGATAATATCAATTTGATTAGTAACTTTTATAAAAGAATTTTGGATGGATGAATAACTTTACTAACCGTAATTTTTGAAATGATTAGAAGAGGAGGAATTAAAAGTTTTTAATCTTGGATCTTTTTTATCCGAGA